CTTCAGACTGGATTTAAGTTTATGTTGACTAACTGAAGGCAAAATCTCTGAAAGGTTAACGAATATCATTAGCATCATAAAGATTCCTTTCAATAGATTATTTGTTCTTTCTGCACTTCTGACTGAAATAAAGTCATAATTTCTCTGTCAGCTTAAATCTCTGTAAAAATCTTCTTACTGCTCTGCAGACGTTTAAGCAGCTCCTCCTGTTTCATCCTGCTTAGGAAATTCAGTGTGATCTTGACCAAAGCCCTTCTGCTGCTCCTCATATGCTCCTCATCCTTCCACTGACTCTCTAAGCCTTCTGGTTCATCTGGACTCAGAACCTTCTGGATTTTCTTCAGCTCCTTCTTCACAAAACCAACAATGTTTTTCACCAGCAGCTGAACAGAAGAATACATGGAGGACACATCAGACTGAGATCATGGAGCCAAACATCACATTTATGTTGGACAGACTGACAGTCCCATCGAGAAGTAGTTGTAGTTCATGTACAGACCATAAATATGGAGTCCAGCTGGGTTTGATGCTGCTGGGCAGATGGACCACTGGGAACCTCTGAGTTCTGCTGGTCCACTCTGTGGAGGAACCAAGAAGCATTAACTCACATTCTCTAGAACAACAAACAGAAACAGGCCAAGAACCTTGTGGTGTCCTGATCCAAAAGCTATAAATGGGGACACCCATCACCAGAGTGGAAGCTCCTACCTGATAAGAGTCTGGATTTCTGATGCTCAGACTGATGTTAAAAATAAGTAAAATTAATGGAAATTAATTCAGAATGATAAGTTTAAGATTCCATAGAAACCATAAAACACAACACTTTTTTTGGATTAATTATGGACTTTGGAGATATTTATGTCCTTAGATGAATAACTTTGCTTCATGATTAAAATGGTCCAACATCTGCAGCTGAGACCTAACAGGAGGATTCATGGAAAGAAATAAAGTAGGTGTTCATTAAGAAACTTTATTTTCATCTCGTATACTTAGAGTGTATACATAACAAAATTTCGATACATACAGCTTTTCAAGAGTGAAACAGAGCAGAGAACATTAGAGAACATTACCATTTACCATTACCATTAACACCATGCTCAGCCTAAGTCTGTATGCTAAAATCACCAGACCCAGTCGCATAACATCGCATTGTGCTACCTTAATTGATCATATTTTCACAAATGTGCTGGAAAATAATTTAACTAGTGGAATATTAATGAATGATATTACTGATCACTTACCAGTGTTCATAGTCTACGACTTCAAGGGCATAACAGACGATCAAAAAATAGAGATGTATTACAGATGGGTTACGTCTGAAGAGACATTAAAAGCTCTAGAAGCTGAGTTGTTGGCCTACGATTAAAGATTTATATATAGAATGAATGACGTGAATTCAGCATATGAAGAATTTTTAAAAACATTTAAAATACTATATAACAAGCATTTCCCAATCAAACAATATAAAAGGAAAAGTAATCAAAAAAATGAACAGTGGATCACAAAAGGAATACAAAAGGCATGTAAAAAGAAAAACAAACTTTATAGAGAATTTCTAAAATATAGAACGTTAGAATTAGAAAACAAATATAAGAAATATAAAAATAAGTTAACTAATATTATAAAAACATGTAAAAAGGACTATTATCATAAATTACTGGATAGTAATAAAAGCAACATTAAGGAAACATGGAACATTTTAAATAAAAGAGTTATTAGGAAATCTTCTAACAATAATAACTATCCACACTATTTCATAGAGAATGAACGGAATATTACTGATTTGAAAAG